GTGGCAGCACAAGCCACTTGGGGGTAGCACAGCATGCTGAGGAAGGGGTCCGATTTAACATCCTACCTGTACAAGATCCCTCCGTCCCACAGCCAAGGCTGAGGCAGCATTCTTCTGGCAAGTCTCCTGGATATTATTCACATTCAGTCTAAAAAGAAAGGAGATAGCTCAGCTCTGGTTGGCACCTTACCTACGGAGGTGGGGAGGGATAGGGGGAAAGCGGTACTGGCAGCTGTTGAGTACCCCAGAACTTCCTGATCAATATGAGCTTTCTAGCATGGCCAGGATCCCATCCCTTCTTTCTCTGTTACTCAGGGATCACTGCCATCCTTCTCCGACTGTTCATCTTCACTAACACACTGCACATCAAGTCCAGCTCCAAACTAGCTGGGCTTGATGCTAAGCAGCACCGTTTCCAAGGAGATATCGGATCAAACTTGTGCCAGGATATCACCAAGCCAAGATTCATTCTCGTCCCTAGAAGCTGGTGCTGCCATGAGTTACACGGTCCTGTTCCCATTCAGCCTAATGGTCTGCTCTGGTTGACCTGGAGGGAGACAGTGGTACGCTGTGGAGAAGCGAGCTGGTCTTCAACCTGTTCCCCAGTAGGATAACGCACCCACTGGGGAGTCTCCAAAAAGCTGGCAAGGTGGGCTGAGGAAACCCACGTGGGCTTTCCTGCTTATCATCAGAAATCTTCCTGAGACACTTGATGCTTCTACCACTTAAGATTTTACAGCAAATGGAAAAGGGTCAGGCTGTTTACACATGAGATATCCAGAGAAGAAAGGCTGAACAGGTCTTTTTAAAGAATGTTTTTTTTAATAATATAGAAAAGAGAGAAGGAAGATTATTTGTTTTTCTCTCTCCCCCCACCCCTTGTTTAAGAAGGGAGGTATGCTTCTACCCTGAATGTCCATAGGCTGGAAATTCTGTGAAGGACCAGACAGTATTACCGAAGCTAAGAAAGAAAAAAATTCAGGAATGGAGATTTTGTAACTGTCTGAACTGGAGAGTTTGGAAAAAGCAGCCCCTTGGTTGTTTTAAAAAAAAACACAAAACCAAAAACCACAAATCAAAAAAACCTCAACTAAACACAGAACTTCTCCATCCTTTCCCTTAAAGCAGAAGAACTTGCATTCCAAATACTTCTGAAATTAAAAAGCCTTATGAGCTATTAACAGTTTTATAGTACAAAAATGTGCATTTATTGGGGTTTTTAAGCCTGCGCATTTAAGTCTGGAGTTTAACACGAGACTTGAAAAAGAATTCGTACTGATAATTTCTCTCTTTAGCTGGTGAAAACCTGAACATGTAAGATTTGCAGCAATGGTGCTGGAGCACCGGTTCAAACTCTGTGTACCATATCCCACCACAAATTTCTTCCATCACACTTTTCAGATTTATAGGAGACAAGTCTATTCTCACAGGCAGAGGGATACCATAAAAAAACAAGCAGCAAGGCAAGAACAGAGGAATAAGGTACAGAAACACTGGAAGATCAGTGCTGACTGATGTCAGGATTAAAGCACAGCAATGCCAAAGACAGCCGTTTTCATTTGGGAAAGGATGCCAGCCCGTACGTACTCACATGTAGAGCTCTCCCAGCAGTTTGTGGACAGGCAGCAAACAGGAAATATCTTGGATAATAACTTTCCCGGCGGCTTTGATGGGTCGGTTGTTGGTATCTGTCCCCTCTCGTTTGCTTTTCCACCTTCTTGATTTCTGCAGAACAAATGGCAACGTGTTACTGGGGAGGAGGACAGCAGGCTTCGTGGGCCAGGGAACAAAGCACTAGGGTCACGAATAATGCAAGCAGCACCCAAACCTGCCTTTCAGAAGGCTCTGTGTTACCCTGGAAAACATCCATGACATGCCCAGGAGAACAAGCATCTCCATCTGTAGGAAGTGAAAAGCAGGTCAAGGCAGCGAGCTCAAGGTCGAACTCACTCAAAAAGTATTTTGTGAGTTCCCCTGTGAAAGCCAATAAGAGAACAAATCAACATCGGGATGCCAATCGATCCTGGGCAAGTTTGGCAGGAGGATGGTTCAATTCTCGTTCTCATTAAAGGTCTGGTCTGGGAACCCTCTGCACACAGACCACCGCTGATTTCAGCCAACATCAGCACAGAGACATGCAGGAGGCAGCTTCTGCTTGCCCTTAGCTTCAGGGCAAGCTGACAGCTCCAGACTGTCTCTTTTGGTCTCTCCTTTTTGGTGTTTGAATACACCCCTGCTTAACGCCAGGACAGGGCTCCCAGCTCCTGCTTTATCAACAGCTTCAACTGGCAGATGATAAAGCAGGGCCCAAGTTTTCCTAGCAAGGATCCTTAGCTACCATGCTCACAGCTACTTACAGCTGGCTCAGGAAATAAGGTCAAGGGGGAGAAAGAACAGAAAGGAATCAACACAAGGGAACAAAACCAAGAAGCCAAGATACCCAAATACTCCCCCGTAATAGACACAGAGGTCGTCTTAACGCCAAGCTGCGTAAAGCTACCTTGGCTGGATGAAACACCGCAGAGCATTTAGCTGGTATCCTGGCCTCTTCCAGCAACTTGCTCTAGGAGGGTGAGGAGGAGGGATGAGAGGATGTGCGGCAGCACGACAGACAGAAGGCACTGGAGCTCTACCGAGGGAAGCACTGGCTGCTAGGCAGGGTTCCCAAGTGTGGCGAAGGATGCTTTGCAATGCTGCTCCCCTATGGCGCGTTCCCTCACTGACACACGGAGTCGATGCTCCTACGCAGAAGCGTCTCCTGGTCACGCTGAGTTATGGAGGGGCTCCTGAGGCACTTGTGGTGGGGCTTCCTACACTCCTATCCGAAGGACAACAGCCCCTTCGAAGGGGCCAGCGAAGCAGCCCTGTGCCGACGGCTGTGCGAGGCAGGCAGAGCTCATGTAGGCAACACATCGGTGCTCCTAAAGAGCAGGTTGGGCTGCAGGAAGGGTGCAGGACTTGGACCTGCGAGCAGGGTTACCTCTACAGTGGATGTCAGGCCAACTCTGGGATGGCTGGGTGCCAAACTGCCTTTGATCATGATCATGCAGCCCTGTGAGAACCTGGGCAGGTTTACCACAGATGCAAAATGCCCTTAAAAAAAAAAACCCTAATAACCTTAAGAAATTAATTCCTTCTTCACTGCCTACCTGGCCCAAGCTTAGGCCAATGTGCTGAGGAGGTCTTGCCACGCCAAGTGTACTGCTGGCACATGCCACGAGAAGCAAAAACATGGGCTCCTGAAGTTGCTCTGGACACTGGGTAACCAAGGCTCAAGCACAGGCTTGACAGTAAGTGAAGAAGGTATTTCAGGCTTCAAGGAGGTGACAGTGGATTTTTTCCAAGGATGTGCACGTGACAAAGCATCACCACAGTTCCCTCGATCTTCCACTGCTCCCTGGAGTAAAAAGGAGCAGAGTGTGCACGCTGGCCAATATTTAGGGGTGCCAAACTCTGGTGCAAACAGGACTGTCAGCATGTAGTGCTTTGGAAAAGCTCGCTGCCTAGGGCATGGTTCTGTTCTCTGCCACATCCCCTCAAGTCCTAATTCATCCAAGAAGAATTTGGCTGCAGGATTTATCTGCTACATCACTCTGAAGCTGAGAAGCGCTATGCAGTGGAAGCTGGCTAGAAGGTGGTCGGGTGGGAGACCGAAGTCTCTTCAGCCCATCAGTTCCTAATCAAGGCACTGTCTGGATCAGCTCTGGCTCTCTTATCCTTGGGTAGACTACGTCTCTTTTGATAGCACCTAAAAACGTAGCTACCCTTCCTGTGCTGAAGGATGCAGGCTGTATTACAACAAGGTTCCCAAACAACAGTGGCACCTGTACCTCATTCCTTGTCAGGACAAGCATTTGGCAACCAAATGCTGTCTCCTACGTGCAGCAAGGACCTGCTGATGCTGCCAAAACCAATACTTCAGCAAAGCTTGGGAGCCCCAGCACAACGACGTGCCATCAGGGCAAGAGGGCAGGCACTGTCCTGGAAGGGCTACCAAGCTTCTCACAACAAAAGCTGTCATTTGTGCTGTGTCTGAACAGGTGTTTGAACCCAGGCTTGCAGACGCAGAACCACATTCTGCAGGTCTGTCACCAAGGACTTCTAGAGCTTGGCAGGTAATTTGGAGAACAACTTGCCACCTCCCGACCATCTGTAAGCCAGCTGGCCCCAGGACTTGCAGCTGATGGAGAGTTCCCTCTGACCAAGGCAGGGTCTTTGCCCCGTCATCGGGAACAGATTCAACCTGCTCCTGCGCTCTGCAAGAGCGGACTGAAAAAGCCTCCCAACAGGCATTTCAAAGACTAGAAACATAGACAACACATATCACTTCCCACAGGTAATTTCAGTCACTGTTTTTTTTTTTTTGGGGAGGAGAATGACAACAAATGCGGATGACAATGGAAAAGAGATCCCATGAATGGTTTCCACTGCTTGTTGTTAGCATATCACCAGACAAATGAAGACACTAAATGCATCAGAACCTCCTAAAAACTTGGGATTCACAATAAAAATCACCCTGTTTTCTTTCTCTTAGCACTGCCTATTTACTGGCAAAAAGGGAAGCCCTAATTCTTCACTGGTGCAGCTCCTAGAGCAGAGCCAGTCGATAGCCCTATGCCCGGCCAGTACTACACTTCCATGACCACCACCTCCTGCCCCTCGAGCTGCGACAGAAGAAAATAACAAAGCCACACATAGAGTCACCATTAAAAATGTCTGTTTTTTTACAATCCAGGTGTGCCTTGGCTACAGCAATGAAGTATTAGAAAAAAACTACAATCAGAAGTATGGGAACCATCACAGATGAGGTAAAGCTCATCACCGCTAACAGCAGAAGCTCTCCTTTGAACCAAAGAGTTACTGGCATTAATTACAGGAGTAGCTCTCCACCAGGCAGTATTTGAGCACTTTTAACAGGGATTACCAGAGGTAAAGAGAGCTCTAGCTTGGGTCTGTCTGACCAAGGTCCACCACAAGGTTCCCCTCTCCCTTCTGCTTCACCTCTTCTCCCAGGAGAAGCTCCCACTATGGCGTTATCGAAAGGTGTCACCGAGGCTCACGGGCATTAGGGTAGAACAGAAAATACGTCTCTTCCTAGGGGCTGGAGCACAGGTCACAAGGGGGAGCAGGGAACATCACGGTTGGAGCTGAAGCAGAAGTCAACATGCGTGCACCAAGCTAACTATTGACAGCTGGAGGTCAAAGACACAGGTCTTCTGCACTGCCCCCGACATTTCTAGCTCTTTCTGTAGCCTAGAATCCATGCCAAGGAGAACTGCATCTACCCAGCTGCTCCTGAGAGTTTAAGGAGAGGAAGAAAAGAAAGAAAATAGCTACAGTGATAGTAAATTAAGACTCGTCAGTTCCTCAGAGCACCAGAAGGAAAGAAACCAGAGCATTTATGACAATCATGGGGTTGGAGGTGACAGCGGGGAACAGCACTGAATAATGACTAAAAAAGCCAGCCTGCACCTGCACTACCATACCCAAGGCTGTAATTTGCTGCAATCTGAGGTGATAACGATGGCAGTAAATGGGTTACATGTAGAAACAGATAGCCCAAGAATAAGCCACCAACTGCTTCGTAGCAACCACCATCATCACTGCATACTCAGCAGAAGTAGTTACAAAATGCTGCATGCCTGCTCGGAAAGGATGCTGAACAGTTGAGGGGGGGGGTACGT